TCGCCTCAGGAGCGCCGGGCCGTGGGCGAAGGAGCCCGGCGTGCCTCGGGGTAGCTGTGGGCAGAGGGGCTGGGGTCGCGCCGGAGAGCCTCCCGGTGCGCTCTGTAGCCCGTGCCTGAGAGGGTGGGGAGAGAAATTACTCTTATTTTCCTGTACAGTTTGTTCTCTCTTATTCCCCATGCCAAGGACTCTCTGTCTAGGCTGTTCGCCCGCTGCGGGCACGTCCAGTCTGTGGACGTCTGTGAGAAGCCAGGGCCGGGAGAGAAAAAAGGAAAAATCACGTCCAAATTCTTCAACCGCAAAACTGTAACGGTAAAGCTGAGGGCGGGCAGGGGGAATACTGGTGCTTTAGTGGTCAGAATGGGAAAAGATCACAAGCACTGAATGGTACTCTTTGGAACATGCAGTATGGGAAACCATTTGGGGGCATTGGGCGATGTGATTACTTATTTAAGTTTACATTTCCTTTTTTTGCTATCCTACTGTAACTTGTGGTTTGTTTTTTATTTTATTTTTACTTTATTTGTACTACAGCTCCTTGCTGCATTGCCAATTTCCCTGGTGTTTCTGACTGGGAGTCTTTTTTTTAGGGATTTCAAGTAGCATACGTGGTGTTCAAGAAACCAGCTGGTGTCCAGGCAGCCAAGGCCCTGTCACAGGAAGGTCCCTTGCTGATATCAACAGAGAGTCACCCTGTGAAAACTGGCATTAGCAGTAAGTCAGCCTTAGCCCTCTTCCTGCTAGCTAGTGCCAGGGAAAAACTATACCACTTCCTCGCTGAATCCTACCCTGTGTGTCCCAGGTTAATTCTCTCCATTTTGTACTGAGCCAGGAGATGTCCAGGGTAGCAATCTTATTGTACTGGATGTTGTAGTCTGGTCTAGTGACCCTATGGGAGAATGGGGCCACTTGGTACAATGGAAGGGCAGTTTTTCCCGACATCTTTTCAGTATCGCATAGATTCAGAGAAACTGGCTGTGTCTTGCCCTCAAAATAGAATCCAGACTCAATAACAGGCAGCAGGTGTCTGTCAAGATGACAGCACTTCAGATGTGACACCCTTGACAGGAACGTAGCCCTGAATGTTGCACCTCTTGGGCTTCGGGCTAGCCTGCTCCTGCTTGGGAAAGTTGCAAGCTTTTCCCATCACTTACTGGCTGTGGTCTGGGCCACAAGTTGGTTGAGCTGTGGCAGTGGGGAGGCTGAACAGGAATGGGAACAGAGTGTGTCCTTCCCCACAGCAGTTCTCTCTAGAGCTGCCCAAAGGCATCACACTAGGGCTTGCTTCTAACCAAGGCTACTACTGACTTCTGCCCTCTCTTGTCTCAGAGTGGATCGCCAGCTATGAGGCCTCAGTCGTGGATCCGGAGGAGCTGAAGGCCGAGGTGGACGCCTACATGCAAGACTATGACAAAAAGATAGCAGAGGTGAGGCCAGGCTGGGGAAGGAACCCAGCTAAGCAGTCTGTTTGGGGAGAGGAAGGGAAGAGAGAAGATCTCTTGGTGCCCTGGCCTCAGTGGAAGGGGCAGAGAGAAACACACTGGTTGGCAGGGTTGGTTTACTCCCAGTTGCTGGTGGGCAGTCAGGTCCTGGTTTGGCCCACAACACCTGACCCTTCCACCCTGGGCTTACAGTAGGTATCCACAAATAAACTGGGTCCTGGCTAGTGTGCAGTGTTGTGACTGAGAGTTGAATACGTGCGCCCTTGGTCCTGTGCCTTCCTTCAGTCTTGTGCAGAAGTACGAGCTGTAGCATTGCATGTGTGTAAGGGGGACTGTGGGGGAACCGTGCATCAGGCTGCTGGCAGCCTGTCTGCACTGAGCTGCCTCACACTTCTGTCTTTACAGGAAGAAGCCAAAGCGGCCAAGGAGGAAGGCATTCCAGATGAGGAGGGCTGGGTGAAGGTAACGCGGAAGGGACGGAAGCCTGGCCTGCCCCGGACAGAGGCTGCCAACCTGCGGGTGCTGGAGAGGGAGAAGCAGAAGAGGGCCCGCAAAGAGCTGCTGAACTTCTATGCCTGGCAGCATCGTGAGAGCAAGAGAGAGCGTGAGTGTCAGAGTCGCCTCCTACCCCTGCCCATGTCTCTTGTGTCTCACACTGTGGCCCAAAGAGTGTCCTTTTTCCTTCAGCGGAGGCTACATCCAGCTGCTAATGAACAGTTGGCTGGGTGGTTGTGCGAATGGCCTTGCCAGCTTTTGAGGGCCCCTTGCCACCGCCTGTCCTAGCAAAGGCTGCTGGAATATTTTGTGGGAGAGTGCTCAGGTCGTGGCTTTCCAATAGATGTTTCTTCAGTCAGCACAAAGGCAACTGAAAGGGAAAACTAGCCTGTTTTCTCCCCAAGAGGGAGCTGCAGCACTGCTGGAGGTGAATGGCCAGAGCCCCAGCTTGGCACTCAGCCCAGGTGCAAAAGGACCTGCTCTGGGAAGTGTGTGTGTGTGTTTGCGAGTGTCAGGACTGAGCCCCTCCCAGTGCGTGGCAGTGAAGCTCCCCAGGAAAGGGAGATCTGCTGCTCGCATGTGACCTGTCCTCTTTCTGCCTGTTTCAGACATCGCCCAGTTGAGGAAGAAATTTGAGGAGGACAAGCAGAGAATTGCGCTGATGCGAGCCCAGCGCAAGTTTCGGCCGTACTGAGCTGTGCTGAGTTATTTCTCAGATGCCTGTGGACTCCATGTGCCAAAGGATTTCAGGGAATTGAGGCAGCCTCAGGTTGTCCCTGCCCTTGGATCTGAAATGGGAGATCCCAGCAACCACCGTTGGAGGGGGGGTTTCTTCCACTCCCACCGGTATCCTCCTGCTCTCCCGGCCATCGTCCAGCCCTGTGGCACCACTTCCCAGGGTGCTCAGGCCAAGGGACTGAGGCACTTCCTGTGACAACCTGTATCTCCCAGCCACCCAAGGCCCTCCTAAAGCTTGGTGAGAGCTGGGACCTAGCACAGCCTCTGTGGAGGCAGGGAATGGCTGCAGAACTGTAAATAAACTGCTGCTGTGTTCTCAGAACATGGGAGTGCCTCTCTCTTTCCTGTGGTCTGCTGTGGGGGACAGCTGCTTGCATGCTGGGGTGGTGATTAAAGTCATGGTTTGCATGCCGGGTACTCCTTTGCACATGTTATCTGGGGGTGAGTAAGAAGAGGAGGGAAGTGACTTTGGGAAAAGCCCAACTGGGAAGTTCCCAGACCTGTTGTCACAAGCAAAGATCAGTGGTGTGGTACAGAGCCCTACCCCTTCCCTTGGTGTTTCCTTCCCAGGCTGCTCCCTCTCAGCCAGGTGTTGTGCCCAGTCTTCCAGTTGTGCATGGACCTCTACAGCCAGGTCTAGCTTGGGCTATGGGAGCTTCTGCTGTTCAGCTCCATCACTAGAACAAGGTAAGATGGCAGCCTGGCTTTGGAGGGGAAAAACCAAACTCTTGCCAAGGCCCATTTCCACTTAAGCTGTCACCAGCCCACAGGAGGCAGGTGAGGATGGTGATGGGCACATCTGGCGGCGGGGCAATGCTTTTGTACTGCCCAAGTAATGTTTGTGCAGCTTTGGACTTGATGATTGTTCACCCCAGTATACTCTGATCAGAAAGGGGCTGTAAACCACCCACCCCCAGGCTTCTACATGTTTATTTTACTGCCTGCAGCCTCGATATGGGCATGACCGTGAGTGTAAGGTGGAAATGCTGGTAAATTCCACAGAGCTGGGTTAAAATGGATTTAACCTCCTCTAGAAAACCCACTGTAAATGCAGCTTCCATTGTATGAGGAGACTGCCAGACCTCCTTGCCTCAGTTGGCTTTTTGCATCAGTTTAACTAGGAGGCAGATGGATCCTTAATACGCTGTATCTAAAGCAGAATGCATGCAAAAATCACTGCCTCCTAAGACTGGTGTTTCAGCTGCTTGGGTGAGCATCCCAAAAGAAAGGAATTTCACTCTGCTATAGTCAAGAAGACAGAGTTAACATTGAGAGATTAATCTTTATTTAGAAGGATAGAAATAATCTCTGCCAACTTTTCCATTATTAGTAGTTCTTCTAGCTGCTTCAGCTAGAGGATTAGTGACTCATTCCTTAGGAGTTCATGGTGAACCAGGTGGGCCAGGTGAGCTCTTATTTAAGCTGTTTTTTTAAACAAGCAGCAGCTCTCAGAGTAGAACAGAGATGCTGAGGCCCTCCGAGCTCAGGCACCCATGGAAGTAAGAGAAGCAGAACACCTTCCTGTTTTTTCAGTAGTTCTAACCCTGGGAGGAGACTGGTCGCACCATCCTCAGGGAGGAAGTGAGGTGAGCCACCTGTTTCTTGCTATGCTCCAGCTGGTGCTGCTGCTCCCACAGAGGATGCCTCTGCCTGTATTCCTACCCCACTTCAGGGTGCATGTTCGGAGCAAGCAAGGGGAAGGCCACTCTGGGCCTCTATCCCTGTTCTCACAGAGCTGGAAGTAGAGGAAGGATTCCCTTTTCCCTTTGACAACTGAGATACTTTGCGCAGCCCTCCTCCAGGGAACCCCCAGCAAACCTGCTTCCACCCTGCAGTGAGCTAAGCTTAGGGAAGAGTATCATGAAGCTGATGTTGGATGCAAGGTAGGAATGGTGACAATTCCTCCAGAGCCTGCTTTTTAGCTCCCTGTTCCCCTGGACTGCTGCAGCAGTGGTTTGTCTTCCTAGAGCCTGGCTCTGTTATTCTGCGCTGTCAGGAAGTTGCTGATGATCCCAGACACCACCTCGGGCTCGTTCAGGTGCACAAAATGACTCCCAGGCACCTCTACTAGCTGGATGTGCTGGAGGGAGAAGACACAAGAAGTGGACGAGGAAAGCATTCCCTCAGGCAAGCTGTGTTTGTTGTGTGGCACTTGTGGGGGGGCGAGGCAGGACAGGGATGGGAGGACTAGGGAAGAGCTGGGTCCAGAGGGCAGTGCTGACTTGGGACTTTGGCAGCAGGGGCAAGGTTGGCTTCCCCCCTCCATGTGAGGGCTGTGCCATTCAGGATAAATCACCTAGTGGGGGGTGTCCGCCAAGGTGAGCTGCTTCCTAGCTGCTGCTCCCAGGTTGGTGGTGTATAGAGTGGAGATGCAAGGATGGAGTTTGCTCTCACCTCTTTGAGGGTAGACTCGAATGCCTCACATATGGCTTTCATAAAGTGATTTCTGCTGTCTAGCTTGTGCGGCACCAAGAGTCCATCTTGTGCTCTGAAAAGCAACAGCAAGGTTCAGTGCAGCACATAGCATGCCTCTATTTGTCTTTGCTGCTGTGCTGGGCAGAAGCAGCGTCCCCGAGACTGTGGGGCTCCAGAGCCACCCGCTATTTCCAGGCTGCTTGTAAGCAGCAGAGTTACAGGGTCATACATGGTAGTCACAGGAGCACCCCACAGCTCGGCTAAGCTGCTATTTTGTATCAAACTATCTGTTTAAAACCTTGGGTGACTGCCTAGTAGTATCAGAGTGGAGACCGGTTAAATATTATCCCCCAGGGCTGGCTCCTTAACAGGTCTGAGTACATCATTCCCTGCCCCATGCTGTCTTCTGCTCTTAACTTTTTCCTTCCAGCCAGCTTCTACATCTCCCCTCTGTCCCTTTCCCCACTCCATGCTGCTGTTTTAAACAGGGTATGCGCTGCTTGGAGAGGGAGGTACCAGGGCAGTCCTGGAGAAGACAGCATCATACCTCCTGCAGAGTTAAGATCATGCTGTCTGCTACTGTGACGCAGGTGATGGGACAAGGTGACATCCCAGGCTCGAAGGGGTGTACTCTGTATGGCCTAGAGGACTTGTCCTCACCACAGTGTTGCATTTCTGGACAAGCAGGAAAATCCTTAAGCTCTTACAATTTCAACAGACCAGGGAAGCCAAAACTGCGCCTCATTTGTCAACTTCTCGCGCTTCCTCTCATTTCTTAGAGTCTTTTAACAGCACCACACAGGCCAAGGCAGCCAGAGCCCTGCACATCTTGCCCTCCAAGGAGAGGAGTCCTTTGCAGAGGAGGACTGACAGAACCAACTTCCCACCCAGAGAGCTTAACAGCTTGGGGGCTCTCCACAAGGCACTGGCTGCCCCCCCATAGCTTTTCCCTGCCCTGGGCACCCAGGGGAGAGCTTGCAAGAGCTATGTCAGGCCAGGGGCTCCAGGACGAGCTGGAGGAGGTAGAGGCTGCTGTGGCTTCACCTCTTCGCTCAGGCAAGAGGTTTTGGGGTCTGGAGAAGGCAGCAGGCTGGGTTTCTGTGACTGGGGGAAATAGTCAAGGCCAGGGCAAAGCAAGTAGGAGCAGTGCTGTGGAGGGTCATGTGTTTGCCACAACAGTCCCTTGCTGTAGGGCCAATGGACAGAAAGTCATAGGACAGCAGCATGAAGGCACGAGCGTGGGGAGGATAGAGCAGGTCTGGCATTTCCTTGGTCAGCCCTGCACCAGGGAGGCCCAGCCTGAAAATGCAGCGCCAGGCTGGGAGGAAGATGTGCCAGCTGCTCTCTACCTGCTCCAGGAGCCTGCCCAGCCCAGGGCAGCAGTGAGGAACTAGGAAATGGTTCTCACATGAGTCTGTACTGTTGTGCCAACTGGCCTGAAGGTCTGGGTGCCCAGTGCAGAGGACTCCTTTCTAACCTTCATTCCCTCCACCCAGGGCTGCAGGGAGGCAGCAAAGGTTGGTTTGGCTTGTGCCTCACTCACACAATGATGAGAACACGGTCCTGAATCTTCTGCAGGAGCTTCACGCACTGCTCCGCTGTGAAGGACTCTCGACTTTGCTGCAGGTGCAAAGATAAAGAGAGCGGCAAAGGTCAGGGACAGCAGCTGGGGGCAGAGGGTGTCCCTGACCCCTGCCGCACTAGTGGCTCTAAAGGCAGAAGCGGCTGCGGACCCAAAGCTGCTGTGCTGGGACACGACAGGCAGCCAGGCTGTGCACAAGAGTAGCTGGCTCTGCAAAGGCTCCTTCTGTCCAGCTGTGTTTCAGGGCTGCCAACAACGCTGCCTGCTGGGATGCAGCACATATGGGAATGATCTCATAGCAGAGAAAAGCTTTAAAAATCCTTTTACTAAAAAGGAGACAGTACAATACTCTGGCTTTCATAGCCTGGCAGTAGCACAGGTAGAGGAGGCCCTACTTGCTCAAAAGTGGCACAAAGCTATCAGAATATCAAACATAAGGACTTTGCTCCACTCTTTCACTCCTTCTTATACGGGTGACCTGACAAAGAAGCTGACCAAAAGCATCTATCCATCTGCTGCCTGAAGAGTTATAATGGTAGGAAAGCATGGCCAGGAGGCCCTGGGGCAGAGGAACTGCTAAATAATTCTGTAACATTTTCCAGTGACTCTGTAAGCTGAGTCAGTTAATGATCAAGTGCAGGCTCTTTCAACAGCAGCATTTAAAAGAGATGTGGGAATTGGGGAAGCAGAAAGTAAACAGTTGGGTGGAGGCCGGGGCCTGGGCTCAGTGAATGTGCCTCCACTATCTCTGAGTTTTCTGTAAACTTAAGGCTCAGAAGCAGCAGGGGGCATGTCAGAAGAGCAATGCTCACCGTACGCACTCTCATGTCTCTGTTATACACCAGCCCTGGAATGAAAAAACAAGAGAAGGTTTTTCATGTCTCACAGGAGCAGGAGTTGCTCTTCTCACCTTTGGGGTCTGCCCAAGACTTTTTGAAACAAGAGGAATAGGATTAATTCAGATTTTCCCTTTTTTGATTTCTTTTCTTTAGCCATTCTAGGACTTGAGCACCATCTCCAGTTGCTGGGAATGGAGAGCTCTGCCTCCAG